CTGCTCCAGGCCAGGGTCGCAGTACCTCATTGCGCTTGACCCTTAACCACAATATCAAAGTATGAGTAATAAAAGTTGTTATTAGTTACATTACGTGCTTTTCCAAAGAACACATAGTTTTTGTACCGTGACTTTCGGATAAGGAGCAGTCATAGTGCAGTTCTGATTTCAATGTAGGCAATGCGTAAGATGAATAAGATGATGACTAAAAGAAACTCTACCGAGAAACGGCTCTTAAGATCAGTAATAAAAAGTCAATGATTTTCCGCAGAGCTAAGTTGCCTCACTACCTACTTATATATGCATATGAAGGAGCCTACATGTGGTAGTTCTTATACTGTAGTGTGCATTTGCAGGTTGCATATTGTTATGTAATTCACATGGTAGCAATTCTTGTGTCCATACACTACAACACTACTCTATCTGTAGACAATTAAGAATCATTCGGACATATTACTTGCTTGAATTTACTTAATTTGCATCATTTTAAATGTCGTTACATTGTATTACTATCACCTAATCTGAATGTTATTTGGTATAAATAGCCGAGACTGATATGGTTGATAGCGGTGTGAATTCGGCGCGCATGCGCGAGCGGGGGGCCCGGGGCGGCCGCCAGTGCGCCGGCCCCGAGTCGTGACAGCCGTTTGTTAAACTAATGGCGCACAAAAAGAAAACCGCCTTCCATTCTTCCATTAACTCTGCTCAAGTGTGCGACTGTTGACTCGGCCAATTTGCACGCGCGAATACAATTTGTCTAAACTATCTGTTTCTATTGTACCACTTGTTATTTCCGCCTAAAATAAGCGTCGTCATACTTGAGATCAGTCCTTGTAAATAACGTTAATTATCCGGCTCCATTGTTAAAGACAACTCTATCCGTAGATTAATTGGTGTTAAGTTTTTATAAAGCCACTTTGTTTCATGATGAAGAAATTAGCGAAGTTGGCGCCATGTGCCATCGCGGGGGTCGAGAGATCCGCACATGTAGCCCACGCGACACATCGCTCGAAAAATGGAGCCGCGATAAAAAGCAGTCGATGTCGGCGGGCGTGAGAACGACGACACGTGGCCTCAGCCAGACGCGAGCTCATTCATGCATTTGATTCATAAATTGTATGCGTGTTTTAAGGGCATGACAAGACTGTTCAACACTAATCCGCACTACTGTAGGTGACGAAGTCCAGAGTCCAACCCTCATGTTTCCCAAAAGTTTCCAAGGGTAGGTTCTTTATAAGCGTGTTTGGTGAGCATTTATGGTCATTTATGTGGGAATGCAATCGTCCGCAGTCGATCAGCGGCAGCAGCGGCGGCGCCCCGTATGCTATAAATCAGGACCGATTGAGGTCGAGCCGGACGCGAGTTATTTTTAAAATTGCGTGCACAATATTATGTGTTTAGGTGGAATATGATAATTGCGTCGGCGAGAGAGGCGCCGTAAGCCGACACCGACGATGGGATTACAGAGCGCAGGCCGCGAGACCGCCGGCCGAGGCGAGCCCTGCGGCCGCCTGGCTCGGGCCGCCCCGAGGTCTCGACCCACTCGCCGCACATCACCACGCCTCGTTACATACATCTCAACACCATATCAACCTGGACAACGACATCATCTACTTTTATTTTGATTTCAAGTATTATTGCGTTCATATAGTATACCAAACGCCGTCAGTTCTCGAAACTACGATTTCGCTATAAAAATCACAGAAGCTATAATTCTTGCATTGTTTCTATTGTATTTGTTATGAATAGTATATTTCGACTAACACACGCATATAACGGTGCGTTTACGCATCAAGGAGTTGCCGTCTGAATATTGATATTTTTGACAAATGGAGTCGATCAGTCAGGTTTGTTCTATGTAATTTTGTTATTGTTAAATATTTTAAAATGTATCTCTTAAGGAACCGCTGCCTACTTGCTTCAATGGAGAAAGGCAAGAAATGTCTTTTCACGTTGTTAAAAATCTCACCGCTGATAATTAGGCATTACAAAGGAATTTTACCGAAAAATCATAACAAAGCTATTATAACAACTATGAATAATGGTCTGATATTACAAATTAACATAATATTTTTTGTCGCCTCCTTTGGTGGTGGCCGCGGACAGGTACACGCTATGAGGGTGCAGAATTCTTTGAATGGACATTCTAGTTAGCTTAAATGGTACACGATTTTGAGATGTATTTAAGTAACAATAAGTTTCAAAGTGCATCGAGCTGAGTTAATCTCATTTTAGAATAATAGAGCGAGTTAGTTCATAAGAAAGACAAGTTTAAACAAAGGTGGTAAGGTGCATTTTTGTGCGTGGCAAGCGAGGTGCGAAGGTCGACTAAGCTACTATCAATCAGCAAGGCGCCATTGAGGGTTGGTCGAGGCTCGTGAGAAACCGTAAACACTTACCCGCTTTATCTGATAGAAATTTTTTTCGCTCAGCAGCAGGTCCAGTCAATTAATGGATTGCGCCGTTATTTGGTTTATTTTTGTTACCGACGCTGCTTAGCATTAGGAGAGACTAATTTATCTGGAAGGGTTTGACAGGTAAAGCATTACTGTGATGCAGATCGCCCTCACGGCCTCATCGGCCAGTATTAACGGCTTATCACTGATTTTATAATAAATGGGAGGCATAATCCTCCTTACGCGGCTCGTTATATTGTGCGGTCCTTTTGATACATTGTTAACGAGGTACCGCGTAATGATCGTGCGGTGGAAACAGTGCACCGCTCTGTACACGGAGCTTATGCCTGGGCCGATTGAATGGTTCTCTTTTAATGATTTGTGGAGCCGTGAGGTTCTAAGCGTTTTAGAATTGAAGACAAATATTTGTCGGGGTTGTAGTCTGGGCGGTCTGTCGACGCACATGTGCGCATAAAAAACTGTGTGATGTGTGCAGTGTGTTCGGTACTGTGTGTTGACAGTGCGCATAGCTGCGACAAAGCGCAGCGCCCGAGCCGCCGCCGCGCGCCGTCTCGCGACCACCCTCCCCGAAGAATCCCTCGTTATCATTAGAATAACTAAGTATCCGACACAACATAAGGCCAGTGAAACAACGGCCTGGAATTCAAAAAAGTTTAAATCATCTGTAGGTATATAGGTTCTGCAATATTTCACGTTGAAAATGCCGATTGCCGGAGGCCTGTAAAACTCTTGGATTTCACGAGCTGATGCGTATACTATTGTTGAATGAAATAACCAAATTATTATTGGAATGTTAAACAAAGAACCGGTTGGTGTAAAAATTCCAAATCTCGTTAGATAGGACCACGATTGTTGATCTCATGAGAGCGGTGGCTTATCTAAAGGAAGTCTTCTTCTATTTTAATAAATATTTATTTTGTCTGGAAAATGTCTCAGTGTGGGGCAATCGTAATGGCGTGTAAATTCCCTGATTAGATACCGTCCTTGGGAACGACTAAAAAAATTAATCTCACCGCAATTTTCCGGTGACGACGTGATGGAGTGGACCATATTAAGCTTGGCACTGGAAAATTTCGAATTCAATATTTGTTTACTTTATTACGGTATAGATAATTGAAACAGAAACAGTATCAGAGCTACTGGATTTCTAACTTGTATTTAATGTATTTCACGATTCAATATTTTGTCGGTGCGCGATAATTATCGACAAGGTATAGGGTGTTATTTTTGGGGGATCGGGATACAGTATCGATACTTTGATGTCTATTTTGGTTCAATCTATCTCCGGTCTTCCCTTCCTTGGCATGTTGCCTATAAATTGTACTTCTTGAATAAATATTCGTAAAAGTGTGTAGGAACCTACCTGCACCTGTTATTAAATTAGGCATCGTGTGTAGTTCTATCGGTGGCGGTACACAAACACCATAATACTGTTTACCTAATGAGATGTGTCGGCTGCACGCGATCCATTCTCACGACCCAACGTGGACGAAAAAAGAAATTCCCAAAATTTTAACGCAATAGATACATTGTCTCTACATAAACAACGGTTAAATTTCACCGAAAAAAAGATTCGGCTGCTAAATATGGAGACGGATTACAAAATGTTTTGTTATTGTGTAAAAGAAATTGAATTTACAAAAGGAAGTTGTTTGTAGCTCACAGTTACATCGTAAAAGTTGGGATGCAATGTTTCAAACATTATTGGACTATAAAACTTATATTTTTAAGTAAGTACCTGATGCGACCACCCTACAGCGTTTCTGCTTCTTTAACTCGAACGTCCGCACTGGGTAATTTAGCACTAATAGTGTGAATTAGAATAATGAAACGGTGTTTTAAAAATTAACTGCTGCTGGTTTGAATAAACTAGAGCATAAGTTCACGAACACAACACAAGCAGTCTCCATATATAATCGCCGCCACCATTATCTATGGAATGTTCATTCGTCGACAGGCACCGCACTTTACGCCTTCCCTCGAAATTGATTGCTTATTCTTCTTTTGGCTGCCTTTTAACAACTGTAAGGCCAAATTGTTATGTAACTTATTAATTAACCTCCAACCCGATTGATGGGAACTAGAAATATATTTTCAAATTGTTAATTGGAGAGACTTTTCTTGGGCTTATGACCTGAATTGTACGGCGGCAGTAAATGAATGAGTCAGTGTGTGATACAATTAAATTGTCTTGGTATGCTATGTCGTTACTCCATATCACGATGATAGATGCTTTATTACTTTTTAGAAGCCATGCTTGTTATTAAATGGTTAACAAAGAAAATTTCTTTCAACAGTCATTCGAAGACACGGCCATTGGGAGTACAGTTACAATAAAAATTGGGTCACAATTTATGGCGTTAATTAGTAAACAATTATTACATGTGGGACATACGTTTTCACGACTTTTCGTGTTATATTCGTATGTAGGTAATTGAATTTTAAAGAAAAAGGCAATGGTCCAGGTTGCGGAGCTTGTTTATATAAGCTTTTATTTTGTTGCTAACGGCATGACAGTGTTTATAATAAAATTCGCAGTTCCATTAACAGTAAATGTTTAAACTCAGAAAAAATATGAGTGAGCTATGTCGAGGTAATCTGCATCTGCGATATAGTAGCCGGAACAACACAAAGCGGGTACAATTTCGCCGGCCTCCCAACTGGGTGTGCGTAATGCAGCAAAAATGTCGCCGCCTCGTAATTAGCACTAGGCTCCCAAGACACCACACAAATAGAATTGCTCTCTTTATGTTTCTCGTTATTGACACCAAAGGGGCAATGTACTGAATGAAAAGTGGACGCAGTCTGGGCAAGGATGGGCGCTGTACCGTGAAGCGAGGCTCGCGACTCCCGACACTCGCTAGCCACCACAATTATGTTTTCTGAGGAAGAAATTGCTGGAGCCACGCCGGCCGATGCTGTGTTTATCCAACGAGTATTAGTTTCATTATAAGCCATAGTAAAAGTGGCGGCTTGGAGGATGTACTCGTTTAACACGACCACTTTGTACTGACAGGATATGAGCACTGTTTATTTATTTACAAATGCAGTGGTTCACAATAACGGAACAACGAAGATCAATAAATAAATCCATTCGTTGTAATTCTCACAGTTGGGTCGCGTCGCCTGTGCTGAACCTCATTCCAGCGAACACGCGTCACGCTCGCGCGCACGCACTCCCACGTAAGCGCGTCTCCTTCGTCGGCTTTGTGTGGAACCGCCCTCGACACACACTTCTGAGAATCCAGCTCGTGGCATTTTTTAGAACGCATAATAATTTGATCGGGAAATATTTATGGAAGGGGTGGCCGGACGCGGACTAGTCGGACGAGTCAATTATCAGCCACTCGCACCACCGTCGGCCGCCGGTCGCCTGAAACGCGCAATGGGTGGCTAGGCTGAGGTTAACCGATGTTAACTCACAATTTATGACGTAGATAGACGAAGGGTGGAATTTCACATGATTTCATTCCTTTTTTTTGGTAATGCCCTATATCATTATTATCACGTATAAATAAAGTTCTTCTATATCCGACATTGAGAAAGTTTTTTGTGCTAACCTTGAACAGGTCGGGGTCCCAATCTTTTTGATGCCTGCATAGCCTAAAAAGAAAGTGAATCTTAGTTTTGGAAAGAAATGGACCATTTCCGGAAATTACTTAATAAGTATATTGTATGAAAAGTAACAAATATAGGTCCCTAGAATATATCCACCATCCTAGATATGTTTGTATCTCTAACTTTGTATCAACGCAGTACGAATCGATTCGTAGCGCTAGTGCTACGAAATTACTGCTACGACATTCGTAGCAGTTTGTTAGTACTATTCTCGTAGGCAATCTGTCATGGGAATCGTTTCAGTTTTTTCTTAATTTTAATTCGGAATAACACTAATCGTTTTTTATTTTGGACATTCAATAAAAGTAATTAATAATTATGAATATTGTAAACTAAATACTCATCAAGAAACCGATCAAACAATCCGTGAATAAATTTGTAAAGAATAAGAAGAAAAAAAAAATCTGGTACTAAATTGTCATTCTGTAATAAATATATTGTTTACCTCAATCAAGTATACATATAATTATAACTACATGCGTAACTACCTACTTAATGCAAGCAAATTACATTGAAAACATTAGATGGATTTGACACTTTTGTATTCGAGGGTTTGAATGGGGTGCCGGTTGGCGGGTAGTCTTCATAGGACATAGTCTACATACATTATTTATTTATTCATATTTAGTAGTAGAAACAATTCAGATTAATTTCTTGCATACTTAATATTTTTACTTTATTCCTACAAAATTTTATTGCATTTATGGGACGAATTTTGGTAGTTCTGGTATCAGATATAATATAAAAGAACTCGAGATAATGAACAAAATACTTAAAGATCAGCGTAATCTTAGTCGAAAATAAATACTATGCTCAAGTTAAGCATGCTTAAGATACTGGAAGATTTTAACTGGAGGAAAAACAATAACAAGTTTTGACGACTCCGGTACTATATCAATGGACAAAGATAAAAAACTAACAAATGAGTAACTGAAAAGATAAGATAGCCCTTATTTAGTAAAACCATAGAAAATATTACAATGTAAAGTCGTTATAGGGTATCCTTACGTAAAAAAGTGAAAGCACAGGAGTGATAGCAATAACTTCCTATGTACTTACCCAATTGAGTAGCTTCCTAGGTAAAAATTAATTAATTCAACCCTTCTATACAATATATCAAAATGTTCAATACTTTTTAGCTAATATTTAAGAAATAAGTAAGCCATTTCACTCAAAAATACTATGGCGTCATAGTTTGTAGTGTCATACAAATTTCATAGAAAAGTATAGTTTTTAACATTTGGTTAAAAGTATTGAATTTGACTAGTTGGAAACTACCGTATTAAAGAGGGCGTTGCAATAAAACAATGCTTGGCGCGTATGTTATCATACTCGCATATATTTAATCGTTTCTGCTAATTTGCCGTGGAGGCGGGGCGAGGAGACGTTTCCGGTGCATGTGCAAGACAATGCTGAATGGACCCATTAATAGCACAAATGAATGAGCGAGTAAACACATGTGTCCAACCCGCCAGCCCGCCAGCCCGCTACCCCACGCGGCCACCGGCCACATGCCACAATACATTGTCTTATGCAAAGGACATTACGTTTCATTCACTAATTTGTAACTTGTGACGGATTTCGAGGAAACATCGTTTTATGCACCGAAACGTTTCTTTTCGTTTCCTTCCGTTGTTTTTATGCTCGGTATTTTTTTAACCGCAGTGTTATACCTTCAGCATGTGTTGCTGTTACTTGATACAGTCTTGTCCAATGTTATGATGCTAATATAATAACATTACTAACTAATGAAAACCTCAACACATGCTATTAAAATTAAAATAAATATCTAACATAAGATTATTTTTTATAAATGTACTATGAAACTTTGTCTTTTGTCACAAAATGTCATAATACATCTGAAGCAAGAGTGCGGTTTGTATCAACATCCCCGGAGAATCGATCAGACACAAGTGTTTAGTTAAATACACCATAGAACCCTATCAGCTACCACGGAGTATTGTACGTGTACGGACGTATTACTTTAGGATTATTGTCCTGTTCATGCGATGATAGTATCGCTTCCTGTGCTTTTCACTTTTCGTTTGTTTAACGCACAACAAAGTACGGGCGATACCTGCAGGACAATGGTCAGGTACCGATCTATTCACTCCTCGTCAGCTCCGGGACAGTTATATTTTTGTTGGTACTACGACTCGTTGGCGCCAGATATCTCAGTCTATTGTACTCCCGACTATTACTTATTCTGTGCCAAAATGATCGTCAATTGTACAGGTACTTCCTGGGAGGCATTCTCATAAGCACTGTGAATTGGGAATTCCGTACGTTTTGTTTCGGTGGCGCTTCATTTAACTTGGATTTCACGGTCTGGCTGTCAGACATACAGTCTTTTATCTGAACCTTTTATAGCAAATTCTTGTCACGGATGAGTTGTGTTCAACTCTATGATTTGTTGCTTTCCAACAGAGACTCGAATTCTCGATAACATGATAATTCATATTGTTTGCACATTTATTTATTTATTTCGTATTGAGTTTATCAATGCATTGCTGGCCGGATACGCACCGTCGCGCCGCCTTCTCCCCTCTTATCTCAAACGCTATCAGCACTATTAATTTTAAATAATATCTAAATTTTCTGTAGCAACTAATAATTGGCGAACATTTCTGAGTGCGAGGCCCGCATCGTTAGGGTTGCTACATAATGACTTAATTGGGATATAAATAAGGTCAATGTAATGATTGGTGGTGATATTTTTATGCCAGCAAATAGTGGTCACGTGTCGGGAATTCGCTACAATTGCCTCGTCGTGCGGCACCCTAATCAACTGAATGGGCTCGGAATGATGTGATTATTATGTTACATGTATCTGTAACACAAACTGTTTATCGTATAGGGGTAAGCTTGCCACGCGATCAGTCAAAGTTAACTCGCTCGGTAATAATTATGGCCTTTGGAAACGCTGGGCCTATTTCCATTTTAGTTATACAATCGACAAGCGAAGTCATCAGAATATGTTAGCGAGGAAATGGCGCCCCTTCCTTAAAGGACTGCATTAACTAAACGGCTATGCGCAATTCAGATTGTCGTATCGTGGGAACATCGCGACGTATTGACAGTGATACGTGAAACTGACAAATATATGGCGGGGCAGAGCCTCCTCGAAAGCAGCCATCGTTTGTATTCAACATTATGTATTTTAATATTGATTACGCCGGACATTCATATCATTATCGAAAAATAAGTTGTCAACGTATGAGCGTTTCACATCACCTAGTTCCCATGGGCGCAGTATTACTTTCCCATGTAAGCGTAGTTATCGTCGGGCCGTCATGTCACTCTGTAGCCTGTAGGTCAGTGTTTCGATAAACAACAATAATGTTCTATGCAATGTGCGTGCACCATGCATCGTGTTACGATATTGAGCTAATATGGCTATGACATGACGTAACCACCGGCCCGGCCGGAGATGTGTCATCGACTCATCACGCAACGCATCATGGACAGTATTTTATCAATTTAATAGTTTCGTAAGTGTCCTCCAATGTGATACCAAGGTAATAATATCTACAAGTATTTCAACTTCATAGAAACGGCCGAAATGCGAACTATACCTACGCGCCCGATGTCGGGACGCGCTCGGGACGCAGACAGACGCGGCTGTACCGCAGTGACGAACGGACGGTGTGTTGTCTTTTATTTAGAAATCAGCTCGAGTACATTATTTAATATGGCGAATAGGAAATATTGTGCTGTTATTATGTTTGGTTGCATGAATTCGTCAATAACGCATCCAGACATAAGTTTTTTTAAAATTTCCTGGAAACTCTGAAAGGTAAGACTATAAAATAATTTTACTTACTAGTAGCCTAGGTAGGTACATAATGTGTGTCTTTATGGATCATTATTTCCAGTTATCTCACGAAAACAGATGTTTGAATTTATAAATAATATGAATAAAGTTATTGAGACGAGTGAAATAGGTAGTTATAGGCGGTTCTGGTTCTGAATGAATCATGATACGTTAGGTACCTACCTACTTACGCTTGTGTTAAAACGGTTCATGTATGTTTTGTTAGTTTGTATAATTCAAAGTAGAGAGTGTGGTATTTTATTATTAATTATATTTGTTTATTATCTGCGTTTATGAATAATACTAGAAAATATTTAATAACAACAATAAAACAGCTAGACTCATGTAATATTTTGATGTTTGAGGGTTGTGATTTTAGAACATTCGTAGTCAGCAGTTCAGTTCGGCATTAGTGGCCAAAGAAATTTTGTTTGTTTATTTTTAAAGCACTTTATTTGTTTATATAAAAAAAAGGATATTTACAATCACAAAACTAAATGGAAACAGAAAGTAGACAAAGGTAATTAAAATACTGGAGACGAGCAGCCCTAACTCATGTTTACGTACCGCGCGGCTGTAGGTATTTATTTCTTTCAAGCGGCCGAGTTACAATACTGTATGATATTTATACTGTGGTGATACATTATAATTATCAGCGAAACGATTAACTGCTAACCTATGTTTGAATTGGGTAAGTAGGTATGTCTTCCATTTACACAATACGTAGATTAGGGTACTATAGCGAGGCAAAATTGTTAAGTATGCATAACTTTACGAAGTCATATAAAGTCCGTTAAGAAAAATAAGCGGACGAGAATCCCGGGGTAGATGATGCACGCA